GTTTCCCTGCAGCTTTCAGGAAGTTACATAGCAGTGTGGTGATCTGTGATCGTAAGAACATTTCTCTTTTAATGCTAAATCATCCAATATTTACATAAATGTATTTAAGTTTGTAAGTACACATTTTATTTAAGAACACTAGAGGGATGTGGTAGATTTGATCATGTAAGATAATTAAGACCAGTCACTTATTCATCATGCTGTGAAACACATGTTCTATGAATTAACCCAGGACTAGATCTTGACTAAATAAATGTGTTTTTTTTATATATATATTAGTATAGGATTAGTCAAAGTGGTAACAAACCACATCATTAATCATGTTGATGTACAAGCGCTGACTCCAAAAAAGCCATTATTATACATTAATCAAACATTATTGAATAAACTAAAACATACTTTTCTAACAATAAAACATCAAAGCACAATCTCTCATATTTCAGTTGAACGCATTAAAATTATTTAAAGATGAATTATTAAAAAGTGGTTTCAACAAACGTGACATAAAATAGAACAGATGTTTACAGATGGTGCGGAAATGAATGTGTAGATAAAGGAAGTGACGCACAGACAAACAACTGACGACAGCTGCAGGAACGCCTGACCAACGATGACTCATCTAGAAATGTTTTAATGCCCACATGTTACCTAGTTTTGAGCTTTACTTTAGCCTCTCTTAAAAAAAGGTTCTGTGATATTCATAAATCCAAAAGCCTTTCACCAAACTGGATGTGAATACTGTCTAATTAAAGCTGTCTAACTGTAGCTTTTATATGCTCAATTTACTGACCAACCATGGGATTAACCTTATGGCTCATTCATGTGACTACACCGTCGTTTTCTAAGAAACTCTGAGACTGAAAAGGCCTCGCCTGTTCTTTGTGGACACAAATTTAGAAGTGTAGTTCCTCCGGTTGTATAATGCAAGAAATGATAAGACACCGGTACAGATGATCGACTAAATAAAGACTCCTTTCAAGCCAAGTCAAGAGTGGCGAGACATTACAGGGACATGATGCAAAGCTCAGTCAGCCAAATCTCACCTCACTCCTGTCCACCCCTGCATAAAATGCTCAACTGTGGCTCCACCTCCTCCCTGTTTTACATTACGCTACATCGCCGCCCAACAGAATCCCTGCTCCGGGATCCATGACCGGCTGTCGAGCTACAGTAATTAGAGCAGGCTGATAAAGACAGAGGACACTGTGTCCCTCTCATGCTCTTGCTCCGTCCACCTGGGCAGATATTTTTAGCTCACCTTGAATGAAGGAGAGCAAGCATCAATTTATGGGCATTAGTGGGAGGCCTGCATAAGAGGCCATGACTCAATTAGGCCTAGTATGGATCCAGATCCACAACAGGAACAATTGTTCGTGTGGAGCTTTTCTGGTGCTTTGTTTGGAATGACTTCCTCTTGAAGTTTATAATTTGTCCAAGCACCATAACAAAGTTAACCATGGAGTCATTCCACCCCGTCGCATTCCGACGAAAACAATCTCAGTGCATGCCATGAAAACAGCAATCCAAACAGTTCGCTCCGTCATTTTTCTGCACGTTTGTGCACACACGCATCCCTCGAGGCTGCAAAACTCTTATGACTTTCACTTTCCCTGCATCCGACCTCCTTTGCATATCAAGCTCCCGGTGTGCTTTAGTAAAACATCAACATTTTATCCATGAGATGCGTATCTCTCTTCCAGGCAACCAACACACACACACTTACAACTCCCACCCCCACACCTCACATACACACCCTCTTTCATATTCCTAGCATTTTTTTTTTTTTCTTCTATAAATCCCGACTCTGGCCACCCAGCCGCACTACATTTCTGAGCAGCTTATCTTCAAACGCAGCGATTTCCCACCTCCGGAAGCAAGCAGGCATTCACACTGATAATAACTGAAGAGGGATAGCACCCTCATTTAAATATCCCATACTCTTGCCAGAAAATGAAAACATCAGCCCAGAAATCCGTGTTTTCACATCGTTTATCCCCACCTTTAAACTCCTCAGACCCTTTCCTGAGAGGGCTTCACTCCAACTTGCTGACCTCTTTTGGACAGCCCAGCGGTATGTCGGCTCAGGCTCTTCCCACGGCAGTCAACAGGCCATATATTATCAAGGTAATTACCTAAGGAGAATGGATGCCTTTCTAATGTCCAATCTCCCGTTTACAACATTCAGCGCTGCCTGCTGCGTGCTCTGTCTCCTCCATGCCATCCCTCACAGAACATGACCGTAGATTCAATAAAGGCGCACACAATGGCACATTTAGCAGCCAGCAGGCAAAGGCAGGAAAAGCAGTGAAAGGTCAGCAGGGAGGGCCTGCATGCTGAGCTATGACTGACGCTGCAGCTCATAATGGCCATCTGCATTAAGCCATAAAAATACACTCGGCAACTCGTCTATCTTGTGTTTACCTGAAAGCAACGGAAAAAAATCTAGATTCTAATTAGGTAAATGTTCGGTGTTTACTTGCTCGTTCTGTAATTGTGTGTGTCAACACAGCACAAAGCCAGGTGTTGAACAGCTGCGCTGCTAAAGCTTAAAGCCATCAAGTGCCTACTGGTATGAAGATGTTTCTGCCTTTGCCAGGTATAATTTGGTTATCACTCACTATCTATCTAAAGGTTTGCAGAAACATCCTGCTCTGGCCTGTAATTGTAAAGCTACAGATGGACAACTCAGAAGAAAGTCAGCCTTTGACAACTAAAATGTGCAAAGCCTCGTCTTGGCTTGAACTTGTTTCTTGGCAACCAGTTTGTAAGAAGATGGTAGTTTAGCTGTAGTTTGAGTTTTAAGGGTACTAGTAGTTTGCATTTTGTTGAGTAAAACAAAGCAAAATGTAAACCTCTTATTTTAGTGTAAAGTATCTGTTGAGCTAAGCTAACTGGCTAATTATTATGTAGCATTAGCTGTTTGCATGCATTTCTACACAACCAGGTGAGGACACAGTCCTTGTCCTTTTGTTTCCTTGTAGACAATAAGAAATGCACGCTTCTGGACATGCTTCAAATTTGGTTTAGACACGGGGACTGTTATAATATTTTTTAAGGATATTTGGACAATACATAAAAAATCAGCTGCAGCCACATTTACACTAGTTTTCGTCATTTAGCAGCTTTTGAACAAAACAACTTGCAAGTGAGAAAATGACACATCCATCCATCCATTATCTTTACCCGCTTCTTATTTTTCGGGTCGCGGGGGAGTCACTGGTGCACATGTCCAACAGTCACTGTGTGAGAGTGAGAGGCGGGGGACGCCCTGGACAGGTCTCCAGTCCATCACATAGAGACAAACGAGTCAGGTTAAGGCCTCTCTTTAAAAGGTCCTCTCTCAGTGGGACTTGCCTGATTAAATAAAGGTTAACACATTAATAATGAATTTAAAAGATCTGATGATAATGATAATAACACATCCCAGTCTTAAGCTTAAATAGATCTTTCATTGCCACTGGAGTTGGCACATTTCTGGCACTGGGAACTGCTTACTTTGTTCCTTTGCCACTTTGTACTGTAGCTGTTTTGGTCATTTTGTACCCAGACTTTTGTGGATACAAAAAGAAGCCGTTTGCCAAAGATCTCTTCACATCCAACTAAAAACCATATAAGAGTTGGAATTGGGTTATAAGTTTAGGGTGAAGATCACTCACAGATACACAATGTGAGGAGCAGAACTTATCTGGCACTGGTCCAGAAACTGGTCCAGAAAACATGATTTAACCTACTTTGTTGTTATCTACCTGGATGATTGAGCCTACAAACCTTTTTCTGAACCATTTTGGCCTTAGTTGTCCTCAGGCTGTTTCTGTGAGTAGCAAGTTGGTCATCTGGCCTAAAACATTTGATTGTTGTACATGATGATTGATTGTTTTGGACAGATGGTCCCTGTTTGCATGTGTTAAAAGCTGCTTCTGAGATTTCAACAGGAGGTTGGCTTGAAACACATCAGTGAAGGCTGCCTATGGGACAGATTTGGTTGGCAGGCCATAAACTGCCTGAAGAAGTCATCTGGATGTGGGACGAAACATTTCTCACTTAAATAAACTGATCCAGATCACATGATTTAACCCTTTTTTGTTATCTGGCATTGCCATTTTGTATGCGAGTACATAATTGCCATGCCTTAGTATGATGCAGGGTACAACGTGGGGGTACAATTTGTACAGTATAAAATGGTAAAACAATTACATTGGCTCAAGCCTAGCTCCATTTGTTCTAAACCAACATATATATTTTTTAAATTATAGAATTGGTAAAGCATCCAGTCCTCAGGCTTTTTGTTGTCCACTGTTGAAACTTCACCAGTCCAGTTGTCTTGTGTGTCATCATGGTGCCTCTAACAACACGTTACCTCTGTGTGTTTACTCACAGGTTGGACCACTTAGCGCTGCAGCGTCAGACCCATAAGGTGAGCGTTCCCACAGCTCTTCAGCACATTCACTACCCATGAGCACACAAACATGGGAGCGTTGACCGTCCAAACAAGATGTCTGTGTGAAGGCAGAGCAGCTGCCAAACATCAACGATGAAGGGGACGTCTATACAGCAGGCCACCATTATCCTTTTCACACCCATCTGACAATACTGTGTCACTTTCTGCTCTTTTGGCTGAGCTGTCGGCAAAAAAACAACTGGCCAAGAAAGGTGGGGTGTGTTTTATTCAGTTTTTTTTTTTTTTTTTATAAAGACAATATGATGGATCAGAATGTCTAATGAGAAGCTGAGACAGTTCCATGAACACAGCACTGGGTTTATTGTAAGAAGGATAACAGGAACCAAATGGTCAACAATTAAGTTAGTTCACGGATCATTTCTACCACATCAGCACATTCAGACCTTTTCCAGATGTTTCTCCTCTCTAAACAAAGCAGCTGTGTCACTTCAATTTGTTTAAAGTCTGTTTTTTTTTAAGTGTTTGACCGAGCGCATTTGGTGTGATCTGAAGCTCCACACGGACTTGTGTTTTTAGATTAGGTAGAAAGAGTCCAACTTACCTCGGCATTACAGAGAGCCGCGGCCAGCAGCAGGAGCGCAGCGACACTTCGCAACATCTGGAAACAAAAAGAGAAAGTGAGGAGAAGCAGCACGAGGACGTCGCGTCCGTGCGCTGCTTTTTAGTAGAAAACTTGTAGGAAACCTCGTGTCTTTGTACCGTTTTGTTCAGGTGGTCCCGTTCAGGAGAAGAAAAGCTGCTGGTCGAGATCTTTGCTCCGGATGGAGTCGAGCTGAAGGAAATTTGAGGAGCTGAGGAATTCCTGTCGGTCGGGCTCTCCTCCTCCTCCTCCTCCTCTCTCACCGCCAATGAAAATGTCTGGAGTCCTCCGAGAAGAAGCACAGGAGGGGGAGCAGGCAGGAGGTGTACATGTTGGATGAATCGATCCCTGCTGCTCCAGTGTTTTATTATACAAGTCTTCAAAACAGGTTGTCTACAGAACCTCACGGTCCGACAAATAAGGCCAATATATACATAGTTACTACTCATCTCATTCTCCGGTGTTAGTTAATGTTTTCAACTGTTAATTTCGTCATAAACCGAGTTTAAATAAAGGGATAGTTCAGATTTTTTGAAGTGGGGTTCAATGGAAAGTTTATGAGCAAATATCGTACCTGTTATAGATCAGTATTTGAATAATCTCAGGCCCTGTACTCTGGATTTTTTTTTTCTATTCATAGTTTTTCCTCTGTCGACATATTTTAATAGGCCCTATAGATTTTTTTTTTATTATTTATAAGTTTATTCATTTTTAAAAAACAAAACAATTCCATATACAAAAAGAAATGCAAACGCAAACAAAATGAAAGGCAACAGAAAGAAGAAAAACATCTTATAATATATGCCCCTTTATAACAAAAAAATAATTCAAACAATAATAATCTTCAAATAGCAAAAACAAAATAAAAAACTCCTTCTTGAGCGTCAATTCATACAAATACACATTAAGCTATTTCATTTTTTATTTTTTTTTTAACAAACCAGCTTTGATCATTCTCTTAAACATAGACATTGATCTGGCATTTTTCACATCACTCTCCAGATTATTCCATAATCTAATTCCCTGGATTGAGGTAAACCGTTCCTTCAGACTAGTTCGAAATTTAGGTTTCACAAAGATTTCCATCCCCTTCATATTATAACAGCTGTCTCTTTTAACAAAATTTAATTAGATATTGTATTATTATAAGCCCTATACATATTTACCATCCATCCATCCGTTATCTTTACCTGATTCTTCCTTTTCGGGTCGCGGGGGTCACTGGTGCCCATGTCCAGCCATGACAGGGCCTTCTCTGTAGCAGGACCAAGACTTTGGAACGAGTTACCTCTGCTTGTCAGACTGACCCCCTCTCTCTTGGTTTTCAAATCCTGTTTAAAAACTCACTACTATTCAGTAGCTTTCAACACCAGAGGATCTGTGTTTTGAACCTGTACGCACCACACTGGTTTGTCGTCATATTTATTATCTGCATCGTTTTTATGTCCATATTTTTGATTTACTTTATTTTGTATATTGCTTCGTGTGTTGTGTATTGTTCTGTCTGTACAGCACTTTGGTTGGCCTTGTAGCTGTTTTAAGTGCTCTATAAATAAAATGGTATGGTATGGTATCACTGTGTGAGAGGTGGGGGACACCCTGGACAGGTCCAAGTCCATCACAGGGACACATAGAGACAAACGAAACAAACAACCATTCACTCTCTCACTCACACCTAGAGACAATTTAGAGTTACCATTCAGCCTAACATGCATGTTTTTAGTCTGTGGAAGGAAACGGGTGTACCTGGAGAAAACCCACACATCCACAGAGAGAACATGCAAACTCCACCCAGAAAGGCCCCTGGACCAGGATTTGAACCGGGGGTAATATGCTCACTGAGGCATCAGCTCTACCAACTGTGCCACCGTGCTGCCCTATTTAACATATAGAATTTAAAAAACATGCTTAGCTTGGTTTTTCAGCATGCAATAAACCCTCGTCCGTACTTGTATCTGAGGACTTAGTCCAAAGATGAAAACTGCTCCTTCCAGGGTGGGAGTGAGTCCAAATATCTTAGTCTTGTTCACAAGTGAGGTGAGGATAAAGCAGAATATAAAGTGGAATCGATGGATCTGGGTCTCGTCCTCAGTAACAAAGGCATTGCTCCAGTCTGTTGTTGTGAAGAAAGCAAAGCTCTTGATACAAGCTGTTGAAAAATGAGCTCTTTGTAGATTGGCTCAGTCACAAAGATGAGGTGAGGAGCTCACAGAGAGCTTGGAGTAGAGCGATGGCTTCTCTGCTTTGAAAGGAGTCAGCAGTGAAAGGTTCAGACATCTGATCTGATGCCTTCTGGGTGCATCCCTCTTGAAATTTGTCTGGGCACATACCACTGGGACGAGACCCCAGTCTCCCAGCAGGGCCAGAACTTGCTGAGGGATTCTGTACCCTCACTGACATTATCACTGGCCTTATCTTGGGATACCAGGAGCTGGCGAGTGTCGCTGGGAAGAGGGATGTTTGTGTCTCCCTCCTGGACCTGTTGCCTCTGTGTCCCAATAATGGAAAAACAGCAGAAAACAGAAAGAGGACATAAACACTTTTGACAACAACATCAAAACAGACTTAGTAAAAAAACAATATGTCATAGTTTCTGAACAGCTCTGTAGCTCCTGTCCAAACAGAAGCTCTAAAAACAAGCTTTTAAAATATCATCACTTTGGAAATCATTTTAAAAACATCATCTGTTCTCACCAAAAACTCTGGTTTTAATATTTTCCTCTTAAAATGCGATGTCTATTTAAAAGTAATGAAACATACAGTAAGTATGAACTGCCATCATTGCTGTCACCTGACAGTCACTTTGGCATTTTTTGGAAGATTGATTCCTTAAAAGAAATATAAGGAAGAATAAAATTCCTTAGATCTCTGCTTTGGTTTTCTTTTAGACCCCTCGGTGTAATATTTCAGTTAGATTCATGTTGCAGGCTGTCGCTTCACTGATCTTTAAATTCAAGCTACAACTCGTCCCTTTCAAGCAGCATCCTTCAATTAGACTCCCTGCTCGCTCCGAAACCATCTGTAAAGCATCTGTAAAGCTATTTTTCGGGACCTCATGCACTGAAAGATTAACGCTGAAAGGCTGAAAGAAAGTATTTCAGCATTTCAGGATTACGTACCACCACTGGTGTGCGCGCATCACCAATGAGTAATTAGAGTAATTAGGAAGGACGTCTATGGCTCTGAGCACAGCAGCACGCTGAATTTTGAATATAAAGAAGAGAATAAATTATTTTTGGACCGCAAGCCATCAATTATAATGTAACCTCACTCTTTGTAGTGAATCTGCCTTTTCAAACATACCTGTACGCTGTTAGTTTACACCCTGGGTATTTTTTGACATGTAGAACCGTGTGCACAGAGAGAAAAACGAGAGTTTTGCTTCTTATCTGATGTTAGATTCATTTTCTTGGACGATCAGGTGCACTTTACTGAATATGAACAGTTTACTTTTGTTCAAACTCTCGCCCCCGTTCACTGATCTGTGCCTGCCTCTTTGCTTTGCAACTCAGCAGGACACTGATGGAAAGGAAGTGTGTTTTTTATGCAGTGTCTTTACCTCTGAGTGTTTGAACTATACACAGAGATATGTAGCTCCTGCATGAGCTGAGGGGAGTGTCAAAAGGGTTTCATCAGCATAGGTTTGAATATTTACAATGATTTCCAAGGGCATGGTATTTAAAATAAATTAGCTTAGCGTTGCTCTGGTGTCTCTTCTTCAATTCTCCTTGAGGCAGAGTGACTCTACACAGAGTCTAAGACCCAACTGTCGGCAGTCATCTTACACTGTGAGAGATTACAAGGTGAAGCAGATGTCGGTGACTTAAGATGTTCAGACATTTTACTTAAATCCATCCATCCATTATCTTTACCCGCTTCTTCCTTTCTGGGTCACGGGGGTCATTGGTGCCCATGTCCAGCAGTCACTGTGTGAGAGGCAGGGGACACCCAGGACAGGTCTCCAGTCCATCACAGGGACACATATGCCTCTTTTCCACTAGCACCTGTACAGTACGGTTCGACTTGTCTCTGCACGGTTCCAAGGCTTTTCCAACGTTCCAAGTGTCCCGTGCTGGCCTTAAAACGTGATGTCAGAACACTGTCGGTCATTGATTGGTTAGCGGGTGGAGACACTGGTTGTTTGGTAACAACACGATCCACTATTTGTAATTATAATAACTCGGAGGAGTGACTGGACTTATTTTTAAGATTTTAAAAACTATAACGAAGTGGTCTAACGCTGAAGTGCAGGCGTGTTTTGTGTTTGGTGGCCGACGACAAAATTCAGCATGAGCTAGATGGAGCTTTGCCGGTGCCCCGGTCCTCTCCACCGGAGCCTCAGAGCCCCCTCTTCCGGGCAGGGCGTCACCTCCCCAGCTCCAAGCTGGTCACAGCGGAGGGTCCTCCGAGCTGCCGACCTGCAGGAGCGCACGAGGCCGGGCAGACCAGGACAGGTCTTGGACGGTGGGTGGAAACAATTTTTAAAAACAGCTTATATATAAAATAATGACTTTTTTTTTATTACTGCAGATTAAAAATGTATAACCTTGCCGGGTTCATCATGAAATACTGTTGTCACTTTGATGACTTTATTAAATAATCTGTTAAAGTTAACTCAGCTGAAAAATCATAAAAAGACACAAAAGTATTGGATCTCTCAGGAATATTTCCCTCAAATATGTTTAAAGAAGGCAGCACGGTGGCGCAACTGGTAGAGCTGCTGCCTCTCAGCGAGCAGGTCCTTGGTTCAAACCCCGGTCCAGGGGCCTTTCTGGGTGGAGTTTGCATGTTCTCTCCGTGCATGCGTGGGTTTTCTCCGGGTACTCCGGTTTCCTCCCACAGACCAAAAACATGCATGTTAGGCTGATTGGTAACTCTAAATTGTCCCTAGGTGTGAGTGAGAGAGTGAATGGTTGTTTGTCTCGTTTGTCTCTATGTGGCCCTGTGATGGACTTGCGACCCGTCCAGGGTGTCCCCCGCCCCTCGCACAGTGATTGCTGGACATGGGCACCAGCGACCCCCGTGACCCAAAATGGAATAAACGGGTAAAGATAATGGATGGATGGATGTTTAAAGAAGAGATACAGTCTTTAGTTCAACTTTATTCTAAACACAAAACAAGAATTAAACTTTAAAGCAAAGCTAAAATAAAATATGTACTTTGTATATAAGAAACAAAACCA